TATTACCCAAAACTTTTTCGGATTCTTTTTTATTAGTCAAATCAATCGAAATACTAAGGATTAGCCAAATGTTAACTCTCAGTTAGTAATTTTGTTAGTAATATTGACATGGCAACATGATACTGACTTGGAAGAGTCAACATTCCAAAATTCTAGTATTTTAACTAAGAAAAAAGTTACAAAATTATTAACGATAACATTAAATGACCAATGAGATAATGTGGTAAGTGCTTTTCCAAGTTGTGACTTTTATTTTGTCTTAATCTTGATCATGAGATAATATTTCGTATGTAGTATATGTGGGTGAGCCTGGCAAATGATATTTATAAGTAGGATATGAAAAATAAGGCTTTGAGCGATGAGAACTGTTGGAGCACCCTGTCACGATGTCCTAAGTGGCGTCCTGATCCTGCACTCAACGTGGCACCTGTTCCACCTATGCCTAGTGAGTCGAGCTCATTCGTTGACCTTGGTCAATCAACTTTGACATTCGAAGGTACTCCAACTGGGGGTCTGTCTAGACCCGAAGGACGTGATTAGCAAAGGGCCCGCAATAAGGGAAAATAAACGGATGAGTCATTTGGGGAGCGTGATCAACGAAGGGATGCATTATTGGCTAGAGGAGCTCTTCTTGAGGAGAGATTTGCAAGTAGGGATATCTACGAAAGTCACAAGATGGAGTGTGAATGGCGAAAGTGACATCAGGAGGTTGAGGAAGTCACCACTAGCAGAAGGGAAAAAGAGTTGGATTTAAGGGAACGAGAGGCAGCCTTGTTTGAGAAAGATATGATGATTTTGGAAATTGACCTAAGCAAGTTAACTCCAAAGAAGAGGAAGATTGTCAAGCGTCGACAAGATGTGATATATGCTAGGGATGCTACTCACGATGATGGAGGACCAGCTGTTGACCTGGGTTGTTTAAGTGCTACTAATGTTGGTGGTGGGAGTGATGAGGACTATGGTCATGTCGATACCTATAGTTCTTTAAATTTCTAATTTGCATTTGAATTCCTATCTTGTATTTGAATTTCTTAGTTTGGCAACAATTAGCAAAAAAAAAAAGACATGTGAACCATCAAATTGAAGTAATTAAATAATTATTTTAATGTAAAAAAGTATCTCGGAAATTGCTCAAATTTTATCAGAATGTTCGTATCGAATTATCGAACAAATATATAAAATTTAAATAAAAAATATAAGTTTAACAATTAATAAGTTAGGATTACTAAATATGAAACAGAAAATTATAGCCCCCGGGTTGTTGCAGTTTTTGTTTTCGAGAGGGGTAACAAGCTATTTTAGCCTTTAGAACCCAAATTTATGCCCCCGGGTTGTGGTTAGCCTAAGGGGAGCGGATGTATAATCTGATGGTCAATTACTTTGCATAACTCAATCAGAATCCACCACATCAGCACTTCTTCTCTTTCATAAAAAGTCTTTAGGTCATTTAAATTCTAGTCGGCTTGAGTTCATTTTCAATCAAAAGTTATTGGGTAATAAAGTTCTTTCTTCGTCGGATTTTTGTTGTACATGTTGCGTAGAGGCTAAGACTGCTTGTAGCTCCCACCCCGCCAGCTCCACCATAATTTCCGAACCATTCCACCTTGTTCACACTGATCTATGGGGGCCTAGTCCTGACACAACCAGGCTTGGGTATCGTTATTTTGCATTGTTTATTGATCGCGCCACTCGTTTCACTTGGGTTTACTTCCTCCGGTTGAAATCTGAACTACGAGCTGTTGTCACTGAGTTTCTTAACATGATTCGTACTCAATTTGATCGTACTGTTAAGATTCGTAGGTCTGATCCCGGGGGTAAGTTTGGGTCTAATGAGCTTCGTGACCTATATCATTCCATGGGAATTCTGTGTCAAAAATCGTGCCGAGGAGTTTCGGCACAAAATGGCCTCGTTGAAAGAAAGAACCGTCATGTCATGGAATTAACTCGAGTCCTTCTTCTTGCCTCTCACGTTCCTCCTAGCTTTTGGCCTGAAACCGTAGCAACCACCGTTCGACTCATTAATTATCAACCTACCTCTGTTCTTAAGAATCTTAGCCGCTTCTTTGCATTGTTTTCTAAACATCCCGACTACTCGCGTCTTCGTGTTTTTGGTTGTACCTGCTTTGATCTTCTTTCTAAGCAGGAGGGTACGAAACTGTCTTCTAAAACTGCTCGTTGCGTTTTTATGGGATATAGTGATATCCATAAGGGTTATATTTGTTATGATCCGTCCCTTCGTCGTCCTCGTATTTCGTGTGATGTTATCTTTTTTGGAAACTTAATGTTCTATTCCCCTGATCCTATCGCTCAGTCTTCTATGTTTCCTATCTCGATTCTTCCCATCTTGGATGATGATGATGATGATGAGTTCCCTCTTGATGATATGCCTCTTCCTCCCAATTCGCCTCCCATCAACTCGCCCACAGAGAGTGGTTCGTCCTCAGCATCTTCTTCTTCGCCCGAGTCACCACCCACGCCTCTTGAAGTGGTAGCTTCCCCTGCGGGTTTACATCGCTCCGTTCGCGCGAACATCGGCCAGCTTCCAGCTCGTTTCCTTGACTATCACACGTATGCAGTTTCATCCATTGTTATCCCCACTCATTACAGGGATGCTCGTGGTCATGAGGAGTGGGACCGAGCCATGGACGTAAAGATTGATGCATTGCATCAAAATGAAACATAGGACTCTGGTTCCTCCTTGTTATAAACGCGCTGCTACGGATCGGGAAATCGCCGGAATCGACAAAGCAAGAATACGAAAGCGAGAATCGAAAAACACGACACACGATTTACGTGGTTCACTAACACGATGTGTGTTAGCTACGTCCACGGGCGAGAGAGAGCCGATTTCACTATATCGAGGAGATTACGGATTACAGAGGAGTATGAGAAGTATTTATAGTACTTCTCCATGTGGGTCTAAACCTAATCCAACCCGAACCCAAATAACATTGAGCCCATACACCGTGGGCGAGACCCCCGATTACCAGTCGTAGCGGCTGATAATCCGATTCAAGTCATATCAACACTCGTCTACAACCCTCAGTTCCTGTTGTCGGTAGCAGGTGGGTTTATACCCTCACGTTCAAGCCCGATGGAGACATCGAACGCTACCGGGCTCGGGTTGTAGCTCAAGGTTTTACCCAGGAGTATGGAATCCATTATACAGAGGCGTTCACACCAGTTGCTAAAATGACGACTGTTCGGGCCATTTTAGCAGTTGCTGCGTATCGCGGGTGGTCGTTATTTCAGCTCGACGTGAAGAAAGCCTTCTTACATGGTGACTTACAGGAGGTAGTATACATGGAGAGACCACCGGGTTATGCTCTTGGAACATCGAATTAGGTTTGTCTCTTACGTCGTTCTTTATATGGGCTGAAACAGGCCCCTCGTGCTTGGTTTGATAAGTTTTATCAGACTATTTTGACTCTCGGGTTTGCACAAAGTTTGAATGATCCATCGTTATTTTTTTCTCGTACTGATCGTGGCTTGGTTCTTTTGTTAATCTACGTTTTATCACCAAAGTCTTACATGATTCGTTTGAGCTCAAGGAGCTTGGTTGTCTTTCATATTTGTTGGGACTTGAGGTGACGCGATCGCCGCATGGAATTCTACTTCACCAACACAAGTATATTGAAGACTTATTAATTACGGATAATATGGAGGATTTTCATCCTGTTAATACTCCAATGGAAGTCAATTTGAAGCTTGGACGAGATATAGGGAAGCCATTGGAGGACGGGAGGCAGTATCGAAGTCTTGTCGGTAGCTTAATCTATTTGACACATACGCGACCTGACATATCATATGCAGTCCAGATTCTCAGTCAGTTCATGTCAGATCCGCGTGATGCTCACATGGATGCAGCTAATCGTCTACTACGGTATCTTCAAGGTACAAAAACTGTTGGTGTTTTCTTTCCCGCTCAAGGAGATTTGGTTCTTCGAGCCTTTTCAGACTCGGACTATGCTGGTTGTGTGGACACTCGAAGGTCAACTACTGGTTGGTGCATTAGTATTGGCAGCTCCTTCATTTCCTGGCGTTGTAAGAAGCAGGATCGAGTATCAAATTCTTCTACCGAAGCTGAGTATTGAGCGATGTCGGATGTTGCATCCGAGCTCGAGTGGCTTAGCAGGCTGCTAGGATATCTTGGGGTCACGTGTCCTTCGCCGATGGAGATATTTGTTGATAACACAAGCGCCATCTGAATTGTCACAAACCCAGTATTGCACGATCGCACAAAGCACATAGGGGTACATGTTCACTATGTTCGAGATCTAGTACGTGATGGTACTGTTCGAGTTAAGTATTTGACGTCCGAGGAACAGGTGGCTGATCTATTTACAAAAACATTCACACACTACAGGAAAAAGGTTCTTCAATCACGGGAAATACCGTGTTTAAAAGCATGTTTCCCGTGATTAATAATTTTAGTCACGGGAAATTTACCATAATATAAAGCTCCGTAACTAATTGTATACCGTGATTAGTTATAGTACCGTGACTATTTATTTACTCACGGTATAATATCCCATGATAAATTGTACCTATTAGACACGGGAAAAACCATACCTAGTGCCAAATTTTGGAGAACATATGCAAGAAAGAAAACTTTTAAAGACGGTATATGTTTCTTTTAAGATGGTATTAACCGTGACAAAATCATTTTCCATGACTAGATGTCTATCGGGCATCACAGTATTTGGCTAGTTGTATTGCGATTAAATACTAATCACTAGTCATCATATTTTTCGTAGCTAATTACAAACAGCTATTCACGAATCTATAATAATAACACATTATTAACATACCATCGAAAAGACAAAATAAAATTATAACATTATTGTCAATATAAATTGTTTCAATATGATTTATTCATCAATATATTGAACAACATATAGTTGATAAGACTAATATTCTTGTAGCAAAAAACTCCTACCAAACATATACTAATTACATATCTAATTATATTGGTGTCCCACACACTAACTGCTTTGAGAAATTTGAATCCCACGACAATGTAGGCCTATTGTTGTTGTAGCTGCTACCTCTTATGTGTTTATATAATCTGCAAAGATAACCTATATCAAATTGAAAGGATAGTTAACCCCCAATACCTATAAATTTGCTGCAGAGATACCTAGAAGTACAAGATCGAGATGGAACTATTATAAGATGAGCACAAATCTACCTATTAAGAGCCAAAATCAGTGGTTGAGGCGTCAAACGCTAGTAACTGCAGGTAGATGCAGAAACTTTCGAACATGGCTATAAGCAAAATCGGAGCAGCCAAACCCCTGCAGCAGAAATTCCAGAAATTAGTGACTTAACCACTTCCACTTGAAAAACAGCAGCAGAAACTGAAATTCCAAAAATTGCAGAGGTAGAGTGGTCAAAGCTCCTAAATGAAAATCTAAAAAAAGAAAGCGCGTTCCACATCCCTTACCTCAGACAGCCAGCCAGGGAAGGAATTGAAACTATTACTTTGCTCTTAAGATAATTGAATTTGCAGTATTCTAACAAGATTAACTGTAAGACCAAGGACTGATGAGTTTCTAACAAATATGACATTATGGTTTTCAAGTTGCGTACCTCTTCAGATGGGTATATATTATGTTGGTGCTATTAATTGACAGCAGCTTTAACCCATGCTAACAAAGGAAAACATGGGGACAAGAAGCCAAAATCTCCTTGCACAAACAGAAGCAATTGATCCCATTGTTCATAGAAACTCCATAAATGACAAGAATATATTATAACCATATAAAGAGCTCCTCTTTGGGAAACAATTATATTAGGCATGCACATATTTATTAATTGAGTTTTCTACCCTTCTACTCAAGCAAGCACTTACACGTCATTTGGATGGAACAATGTCTGATCCTTATCTTCTTTGCTGTTCTTATACATACCAAAAAAAATATCATTAATAACCTAATCAAGCTCAAAGAACCTTCATTCAAACAGAGGAAAAGGCATAGGACAATGTATCAAATGGTTTACAGTACCTTGCACCTTGAGCCACCAACCATAAAAGAACTGCAGGCCATGGCAAAGGCTCGAATCTAAATTTATCTATTTGTTAAAGCAACAAATTGACAGCAGTTAATAAGAAACAGCAGGGAGATCTGGATGACAGAACTAGAAGTTAAAAAATCGTACTAAAATCCCCATGCTCTCCAAATTCATTCGGCAAACTACTGATCGAGTTTTCTACCCTAGAAACATAATTAATGTGGATACTGTGGATGTAGGCAATTCCCCTTGCTGCACCTAGTACAATCCTCATTCTAGTTTCCTAGTATAAGGGTGTCCTGCCTTCCTCTCTTTCGCATGCAAAACACACATTGAATTATTGTGTAACTATAGTTACGCGTCTAAGACTCAAGTTAGAGTAGGAAAACCTTGTATGAGATATAGAGCAAATTAGACTCGTTATAAACTCGTACACCATCAACAAACAAATCAAAGAAAGTGATTCAAGTTTCAGAACACGTACCATGCAACAGAACAAAGACACTTCCCCATCACAGAAATCATATACATCAGCTTCTCATCCTTTAGTAATAAGCTCTCAAATTAAAGCACACACATTCCCACGCCTAATCCCACCAACCACCTACATCTGCCCTTCAAACTCCTTCCCCAAGCCCACTTCCTTCAACCTCTTCACCACAACTGACGTCCTCGCATCCTCCAACGCAGCCTCATAAGTCGTCACGTGGCTCCCTTCCCAAGCACCTCCGTCGATGCCCTCAACAAGTCGGCCAAATCAAATGCAAGGTTACACCCTTTGAAGACACCAACCTGTTGTTCTTACCATCTCCCCCACCGCCATCCTTCTTCTTCAGCTTCAGAGCAGGGTCGCCTTTCTCCTCTGACTTGGCGGAAGCTGCAAGTTTTGACCAATCAATTGACAGACGTAACTCTACTGTTAAGAAGATGATTTTGTTGCTATACAGTTACTACTCTATATCAAACTCAGCTGTTGAGGCAATCGAATATACATAAACCATAAACAAAGCACTAGAACACTTGTCCCGATTAATGCACCATCATGCAAGTCTTTGTTAATGTGTGAGGATAATTAGAACATGTTGTCCACAGTCAGGCAAGAAAGAATTAACTTACCACAGCAGATAGACATTTCCGTCCACCAACCATCCCAACCTTTAAGCCCTACATTAAAGCAGCAGCAGAAGCTGAAATTCCAGAAACTACACTGAAAGAGCTCTACTCCTATTGCAGTTGTTCCTACAAATTGTTCAACAAATTTCCGAGTGCATTAATTTATGAAAAACCTTAATAGTCACTTAGGAAATGAATGGGGGAAACCACGAACCTGATGATCTTGTGCAAACTTAAACACTTGGTCATCTGTATTCTTCTGCTCCAAGGGTACTCTCTTGCTTGAAAGTAAAAAATGTGAGAACTTTGTAATTTAAATGCCTAAAGGAGACTAGTGGGGAAATCTTAACAAGAACAGAAGAATAGCATGTACCTCAGTTGATGTTGCAGCCTGTAGATCTACAGCTTGAGAAATGAAATATGAAGGGTTGAAGCTGAAAGATAGAGAGAGAGGGTAAAGCGAGAGTTCAAGTCAATGGGTGTACTGTTTTGATAAGAAATCAATCCAACTACGCTAGCATAAGATAATTAATTGGCCCGAAGAGCGAACATACCCATCAATGCCATCTTCCCCATCTTAGGCTGCATGCGCTCGCGTTGCTTCCGCTTCAAATTTCTAGCATTATCCTTCTCGATATATGCCTGCATAGAGTGAAGAAAGCAGTAAACTGGAAGAAGCTAGTAAGGTTGAAGTCCGTCAAAACTGAAAAATCCCGTATTTGTTCGATTTCAAACCCTAAAAAATCTAAAATCTGAAATTTCAATCCCAATTTCACAATCGAAGCATGAAATTGAAGATAACCAACCCAAATTTCATAAAGAAGATGAAAATGCAACGAGAATGTTGACTGCTCTCTCTGCCAGCGTCGATTTGGCAGCGAAGTGAGCAGAGGTGGGGAGTTCAGGAAACGCAAGGAGGATGCGAAGTAGGGAGAGGGGTTTCATAAGTGAAGGAGTTCGGGTTTTGGAGAAGGACTGAAGGAGGTGGGAGGAGGAATCAGTGGGAACTGGGGCTGCAGCAGCGGTGGAAGTGGGTGGTGGTGATAGGCTCTCTCAACTCCACTTCTCTGAACTCTGAAGAAGAACGTAGGGGAGAGAAGGAGGGGAAGGGAAGCGAAGCGGCCAAGCGGGTAGTAAGTTTTGCATTTCATTATCTGCGTGGGGGCGGGGAGAAAATTGTGAAAATTCAAAAGACGCGGGTATATTTTCTATGCCGGAAATTTTTATGCACAAAATGAAATTTTGGAGCCAAAACAAAAACCAAAGTAAAATTTGGAGCCAAAAAGTACTCCCTCCTATAATTTTGAACAATTATTGTCAAAACTAATTTTCTACATTGTTCACGGTAATTAACCGTGACTAAGTATTATTCACGGGAAGTGAAGACTAAAATACTGATAAAATGATTCCCGTGATTAAAATTATACCACCAATTACGGTAATTTTTCCCGTGATTATTAGTGGACTTCTTAGTACGGGAAACAGTCCCGTGAATAAGATCCCGTGACTAGAAACCAGTTTTCCTGTAGTGACAAGCGCACGACACTGGTACCTTGCAAGCAAACTAAAGCTTCGAAATCAACTTCAGTTTGAGGGAGGCTGTTGAATGTAAATTGGTCTATGTATTATATGTCTTGGGTCTATGTATGGAGTTGGGTAATTAAGGTGTTTGGGTTTACGTGCGGGAGTTGGTAATTGAGGTGAATTAGCCCACTATAGAAGCCCATGCCCATGCAACGTATTGTACAAGCTAGGGTTAGGGTTAGGCATCCGAAGGTGGGGTTATATATATGGGTGCTTGTGCTTGTAATCGGATTATCAAAATAAGGAAGAAGATACGCTTTGTGCCGTGGACTAGTCTCAACGATCGTCGTTGAGGAAACCACGTAAATCGTCTTGTCTTGTCTTTTCGATTTGATTATTTTTCGTATTACGTTTTCTATCATGGTATCAGAGCTTACCCAGATGGAATCCGACGCCATCACTGTTCGCCTCAGCTCCCGCAACTTTGCGCTGTGGGAGTTCCAGTTCCGTACCTTCATCAAGGGCCGTGGTCTGCTGGGTATGATTGATGGAACAACCGTCAAGCCTACCGTTCCACCCTCTATTGAGCAAGATCTGTCGCGCTGGCTGCAAAACAACGCCCTGGTTCGTACCTGGATCCTTAACTCCGTCGATCCCTCCATTGTTCTGGGGCTCCGCATGCTGACGACGGCATCCTCGATGTGGAAAAACATCACCGAGACGTACAACGCCACTAGTGATACCCGCCAATTCAAGATAGAGTACGAGCTTGCTCATCTTTATCAAGGGGATCGTGATATCACCACCTTCTTCAACGCTGCATGAAATATATGGACTGAACAATGTGCAAACAGATAGGTCTGACCCACTTATGTTTTGCTGGCGACTTTGTGGTCTTTTCTGATGGTTCAAACTATGGCATCCAGAGTATGCAGAGGGTTCTGAGTGTGTTTCACAAGCTCTCTGGTCTCCAGACAAATCCTAGTAAATGTGAAGTTTTCTTTGGAGGGTTAGAGAAGGAGGAGATGGTGGCTAGAGCTAGCAGATATGGCTACCAGTTGGGTGGTTTCACAGTGCGATTTTTAGGAGTGCCTTTAGTGGCTAGGAAACTCACAGTTAACGCCTGTAGACCACTCATTGACAGAATTACGAGTAGGGTGCAGGGGTGGAAGGCAAAATCTCTAAACTATGCAGGTAGGGTTGAGCTAGTTGGTTCTGTCCTGTTTAGTATGACACAGTATTGGACGAGTGTCTTTATGCTTCCCAAAACGGTTATTCGTGAGGTGGAAAGAATTTAGCGCAATTTTCTCTGGGCTGTTGGACATGGGCTCAAGCTCAAAGCGAAAATGGCATGTAAGTATCTGTTTGTCCCTAAAAAAGAAGGTGGTCTCAGACTGAGGGACCTCACTACCTGGAACTATGATTGTGTTTTTAGGCAGATTTGGGCGATAATACTACAGCATGGCTCTCTGTGGGTAGCTTGGATTCAGACATATAATCTGAAAGGAAGGGATTTCTGGACTGTGAATGTGAATGGTACTTGGAACTGGAAGAAGTTGTTACGACTTAGAGGTAAGATCCCTAACCTATTTAGCTTGAACAATGGCTTGCTTCTTTGGAATAACATTGCTATGCCAAGGTACTCTATAAAGGTGGCATGGGAAGTTTTTAGACCAAAGAAAAATGCAGTAAGATTGTATAAACTTCTCTGGAAGGGGAATTCAATCCCTAGAAATAGATTTCTTGTATGGCTTGTAACTCGAAATAAGATTCAAACTAAGGACAAGATGAAAAAATTGGGGTTTGTTAGATCGGATCACTGTCTTCTGTGTGATCAACCTGATGAGACAAGAGATCATATGTTCTTTGTTTGTTCCTACTATTCTTCTATCTATAAGCTAATGTTTGGTAAATTTAGCTCTTTCTTGAGAGGAGAATCTCGATTGGGTTATCAAGAAGTTTGGGACAAAAACGCCTTGTGCAAATGACAGGACGATTGATTTGGCACTCGCTGGTGAGTCATACTTGGAGGGAGCTTTGTCGAAGAGCATTTGGTGACAATAGCAAGTCCCCTGAAGCTTTGGTTTCTATGGTAAAGAGTGAGGTAAGGGTGCTGGTGCAGGACCCTCTGGAGCTTGAACGGTTTTGGCCTGCTGGTTCTGAGATATTCTGGTCGCTTACCCGAGATTTTGTTCCATTTTTTGTTCTTCTTTGGTAGCTTTTTGTTTCTTGGTTTTCTACATTGGAGTATCATTCCTTTTTGGTTTACTCTGGTAGTTTGATAGATTGTTACTCTGTTTCCCAGGATTCATACCTAGTTGGCAAGGTTGTTGCCAGTAGCCCTTTTTGATGAAATGAAAGTATACCGATTCATTATAAAAAAAGGAACCCAACAATCTCCTCAAAACTATATCAGCAATCTCAAGTTTTAGTAGGGATAATACTATCACTCATTTTGAGTGTTAGTTTCCATCACATCAACCAACAATGCATGTATTGTTTGTGCAGAAATTTCAAAACACAATGCATTGTGGACAAAATATATATGCATTGTAACACTATATTAATAAAACAATCACCAAAACCAAACAACCCCTTAATTATTGATGTATGCTTAACTCATGGTTATACACCATATATGTAGCCCAGCTCTCATCAGATTATTTCAATTCCCACTTGCCAGTCATTAATGCTTCAACCGCAGCCCTCGATCCAGAGAGAAGAAGAAGACGACTAGCCGCCAGGGGACCCCACAACATCAATTACCATCACCAGCCATTGTTGCAACCATAACCATGATAATCATAATAATAATGCTAAAGATAATATTATCAATCTCTTCTTTTGAACAGCGTTTCTTAATTATTGTACACACACACAAATATATATATATATATATACAGTTAACAAGCAAGCAAGATCTTCACCACAACACAACCTCAGCCAGTTCTAGATTTCCTTTCTGAACAACAAGATGGCCGAGTACTTGGATGCCAACATCAGCGGCGAGGAGCTCCTGGAAGCACAGGCTCACGTCTGGAGCTACTCCTTCAGCTACATCGTCTCCATGGCCCTCAAATGCGCCGTCGAGCTGGGAGTCCCCGACGCCATCCACCGCCACAGCGCCCCCGCCTCCTCCTTGCCCGCGCTCGTCTCCTCCCTCCAGCTCGACCCTTCCAAAACCGAGCCCCTCCGCCGCCTCATGCGCCTCCTCGTCCACGCCGGCTTCTTCACCGCCACCACTGACGACGCCGAAGTGCACTACTCCCTCACCACCGCCACGAAGCTGCTCCTCCGCGGCCAGGGCGGTCCGGCGTCGGCGTTCCTGCTGCTCCAGCTGGACCCCAAGACCATCACGTCGTGGGGGGCGCTGAGCGCGTGGTTCCAGTTCAGCAGCAACCCGGTGCCCTACGAGGCCGGACACGGCGGCGTGTCGTTCTGGGAGTGCATGGAGAAGGACCCGAGGCAGAAGAAGGCGTTTTATGACGCCATGGTCGGGGACTCAAAACTGGTCGCCGGTGTGTTGGTGTCGGAGTGTGGAGAGGTGCTGGAAGGAGTGGAGTCGCTGGTGGACGTCGGCGGCGGGACGGGAGCTATGGCGGTGGCGATTGCCAAGGCTTTCCCGAAAGTGAAGTGCACCGTGTTTGATCTTCCTCACGTGGTTGCGAACTTGAAGGAGGGCCGCGGGGATGATGTTGTGAAGGGTCTGGAGAATTTGGAAGTTGCTGGTGGGAGCATGTTTGAGAAAATTCCACATGCGGATGCAATCCTACTCAAGGTGAAGTACATACATGATATGGTCGTAATGATTTTTTTTTTTTTTACATGCAAAATCATCAATTTTGATCATAATGAATATAACTAATATTGCATATAGCTAGAGCCGTCAAAATATCTACTACTATGATTAACGGTTGGATTAAATATATTAAAATTTCGAACGAAATTAAATATTACTTGAACGTATGGATAAAATTCAAACCTAAATTTTAGTGAGTAATGGATGGGCTTGATTTTCCAACTATTCAACTCAGCTGCTTCGTTTTATAGATGTATATGCAATTTTTATTATAATTTCTCATTCTATCTTTCTTGATATATTCGAAATTTGTAGTAACATATATAACATCTAATTGAATATATGCGCTCCTTTATTCATTATTTATCTTAAGATCGTTACTTATAATTATATATAACTTTTATACAAGTAGTTGTATAATGTATAATGTGAATATACTCACAAGTAATAACACATTAGATGAATGACTATTATACTTGAATACCAACAAATAAATATTGTAAGTACGATAAGACCCGAACTAATTTGACTAGGGTAAGGAATATCCATAGTTCCCAAACCAACCTTGAAGCTATTGTATGTTGGATTGATTAATATTTTCAGGTTACTATATATATGTAGTGTTTTTATATAACCTAACCAGGAAGAACCTTGAAAAAATGAATATAATACCTTGTTTGTTTGTATGTTATTTTGCAGTGGATTCTTCATAACTGGAATGACGAGAAATGCGTAGACATACTAAAATGCTGCCTGGAGGCGGTCTCCGGCGACGGGGAAAAGAAGGGCAAGGTGATAATTATAGATATGGTGGTCGGAAACAAGGCAGCTGTCGAAAAGCAGGAGTTGTACGGAGTGCAGCTTTGCTTCGATTTACTGATGCTGGCTTCTTACAACGGCAAAGAGCGAGACGAAAAGGAGTGGGAGACTCTCTTCAAGGTCGCTGGCTTCAGCGGCTACAAAATAGTTGGTTCATTGGGCCCGAGATCGATTATTGAAGCTTATCCTTGATTTGCTGTCCCTCTGGTGGTCAATAATATGTGATTTGTGCATTCATTGCGTTTGTCGTGCAACTGTTCGTTTCAATTTATGCTTATCCTTTTAACTAATTAAGGCTACCCATTTGTGTGTGTTTTCAATCTTTCACTCCCCTTATATCTAATCGTTGAAAATTCAATAAATAAAATGTTCCTATGTTTAAATATAGTGTTTTTCCATATAAATCTTAACGAACAAATTAGTAATGACAATTTATATCGTACGATCGTACCTATTTTATCCGATTTGTTTAACCTATTTTGGGCGGGTATTAGTGGGGCGGGGCGGGCAGACATGGCCCCTCTCCTTGACCTAACCCCCTCATTATTTATATGTGTTTGCATAAATTATATAAAATAAGAATCAAATTACTTAGCCTTTTACTTTTAGCATCTCAATTTCTCCAATAATTTAACTACATTGATCATATTATAGTTTGTCCTTATTTTTATAATAAAAAAATAATATTTCTAATGTTTATCCTTAAATTACATGCGTCTATGTGCCAATCCACTCCGACCTGTGTCTCATGATAAATTATCGAACCTAAACCCAACCTACCACCAAGAGGGAAAGACTATTGAAATACCTGCCACGACCTGGACCATTAACATTCCTAGATCAAATATACCAACAAAATCAATATAATGTATGAATGCTCATATATATTAATGTGGCTGTAATGATCACAGGGAGATTATGACGAAATCACCATGATCGCAATTCGATTACGCACAATACGACACTAATAAAATTGTGGCTAAGAATTACATAATATCAAAGTCCGCACACTAACAAATTGGTTGTTCCAAACTAACTCGTACTTTTCAAAGTGCATTTTCGTTTTGGAAATTATACTCCGCGTCGAATTATTATGGAGTCAACCAGACTAAATGTAGTGTCTAGGTCAACTACAAAAACAAAAACTAGAAAGGACATATATTTAGCGGATTCAGAGAATAATATATGCCAGAGCGTCAATATTTGAAGAATGATTCCAATGCAGACTTGCTCTTTACTCTTTGAGTATAAAAAGTTTCAAATTCGGCCTAACTTGCTCAGTGCAACTTGATAAGGATATAAAATAACTATTTCATTAATTTATTTAATTTTCTCTATTAGTTGTTAAGCAGCTCCCATTGTATAGCTCCACTACTCGTCACTACTCCTTAGTTTTAGCGATCATTAGCACTCCTTAGTTTTATATATTATAGGAGGGTGTTCAAATGGGGAAAAAATCCCAAAATACCCTACCTATTAAAAAAAATTCCTCAAATACAAGACTTATAAAAAATTTTCCCAAAATACAGCAGTTTCACCATCACTGTCATTGTCCAAGACAGTGATGGTGTTCACCGTTTTGGTTCAAAACGGTGATAGTATCACCGCTTTAAACAACAACAGTGATGCTATCACCGTTTTGGTCCAAAACGGTGAAGCTATCATCGCCTTCAACCAAAGCGGTGATCGATTGACCGTTGATAAGAACAACGGTGAAGGTTTATCACCGTTGAGATCAAAAACGGTGAAGTTGGCGCGGATCGCTGACGTGGCGAGGAGCGGGGACTTCACCGCGTAAGACGAAAGCGGTGATAGCCCCGCCCCGCCACGTCAGCGATCCGCGCCATCCGCGCCCTTCACCGCTGCCGTTCGATGCGGTGAGGCGCGGATTGTGGTTTTTCTCCACGATCCGACGCCTCACGCCTCGCCACGTCAGCCATCCGCCCATCACCGCCTTTGACTGGAGCGGTGTTGTCACTGCAGGCGAGGAAAGCGGTGATTGGCCGCCATTAATTTCCAGCGTCCCCTTCCCCTCCCTTCCCCCCCTATAAATACCCCCCCCCCCCCCCCCCCCTCATTCCAAATCACACCACCAAATTTTATACTTCTTTCTCCCTCCAACTTCACTCTAGTTTCGTTCTAAGTATGCTCTGTGGTTGCGGCTAAGTCCGATCTTCCGCATCAGAAAGAATTACTAGAGTTTTGGTTTTTTGTCGATACTCTCGCTAGCTTTTCGGCAAAAAATGGACGAAGAGGCTTTGAGAGTACGTAAATTTATTTAATTCTTTTGTGATTTTTTTTTACATGGGTGCGAAAATTTAAATTGATTTGATTTCATATTTTTTTATAGATGGGTGCTGAGATATACGACCCTAGATTGTATATCGATCCTGGCCCAAGGGATCGAAGGTATTTAACCGGGCAAGATCAACATCGCTCTCGTTCAATTTGGAACAATAATCCGGTAGACACACTAAAATTATTTCAATAGTTTTAAAGTTTTTATTTTGCTTTCTAAGTTTTTATTTTGCTTTCTATTGACTGACAATATTGTGTTTTTTGTTTTGTAGGAATCACTTATTCCCATCAGTCATCGAGGTACATGTCGATTGCCCCGTTGGCATCCTCGACTGCATCCCTATCTAGAGAGGGCGGGATTGCACAATTTGAGGCACTTTATGAGGCTAGATATTGACAACGATCTGCTGACGGCAATGGCAGAGCGATGGCGCCCTGAGCTGCATACCTTCCACTTTCCCGAGGGTGAAATGACGATCACCCTCAAAGATGTTGCCATCCTCACCGGGCTCCCGATCACCGGAGATGCCATCATCGACAGCTCGAGAAAACCAGAAGACGGTTGGGGGCCATTAATTCAACAACGTCTGGGGTTCAACATGCCGACCACCACGCCCGTCGAAGGTCAGGGGCATCCACCACTGAATGCGGGGCAAGTATCGATCCCGTGGCTTGTTGACCACATCCAGATGGAGGTTAATATAGGCCTGGATACTCCTGAAGATCAGGTGGAGCGGTATGCACGTGTCTACCTAATTGCCTTGGTTGGTGGGTTTCTGTTCCCCGACAAGTCAAACCGGTGGATACAAGGCATGTGGTTAAATATGCTCCTCGGTGACTGGGACGAGATCGGGCAAAGAAGCTGGGGGTCGGCCGTCTTGGCTGGGATCTACCGCGAGTTGTGTACTTGCTCGAAGTTGGGAGCGAAACAAGCTGGTGGTGCGATGTTCATACTCCAGCTCTGGGCATGGGAGCATCTTCCGTTTCTCGCACCTCGAGACCCTCGGGAATTCTGGTTGCCAGATGATGAGCTACGATTTGTAGCAAATCCCCCATATGGTTTCAAGTAAGTTCAATTTAAGTTGAATTTATTTTAGATATGCAATGGTAGCTAGTTAGGTGAATTTAGATTTTAGTGAACTTAGTATGCAATTTAGGGTTTAGAATTATAGTATTTTAGTGAACTTAGCTATCTTCCAACTAAGCGGATTTAGAGACATTTTAGGTCTGCAATTCTAGATGATTAGTGAATTTAGATATCTTCCAAGTAAGTGAATTTGGATTTATTCTAACCAAATCGCATTTAGCTCATTTAAAAATTGCTTATATATGTACTTTTGCTTAATTAGGTGGATCGGAGCAAATACAAACGACCACCAGCCCGAGCACTCTTTACTGTTTTATCGTGCTGAATTTGATAAGCCTTGGTGGAACCAGGTAAAAATATTGAATGTCATGATTTTCAATTTATTAGGTGGAGTGGATATAATTTTTACTAATTCCATGAATTTTAATGATTGTAGGCGGTATGGGATCCATATCCAAATGAAGTGGTTGAGTTGCATCGTCTTAGACATCCCGAGGATCAAGAGACATGGTTGTGCAAGGTGCCCTTAATCTGCTGGCACATGGTGGAGTGGCACCTGCCCGATCGATCTTTGAGGCAATATCGATTGGAGCAACCAATTCCAGCATCCCCACCTCAAGGGTTCAGGGAGCTCCACGCCATTGACCTACGCTACAACAAAAAGGATTGGACCCGCAAGCATGAATTCTACATCAACATATGGGAGAATAGAAATCAGTGGGTGGTCCAAGGGGCGCCGGAGACAAGGCCAATGGGGTACCACGATGGCTACATGCGGTGGTATCGGAACTTCACGCTAAGATGGGTGTCAAAGCAAGGTGCTGTTTGGGGCGCAGTGGTAAGTGAATTCCAGTTTGGCCTATTTTAGTTAATTTTTGTAGTATGATTACATGCCTATATTAGCTAGAATGTTAATTATCTATATTAGATTTAATGTTAGTTAATTTTTGGTGTATGATTACATGCCTATATTAGATGATAGAAATCATTATTAGATTTAATGTTAGTTAATTTTTGTAGTATGATTACATGCCTATATTAGATGATAGAAATCATTATTAGATTTAATGTTAGTTAATTTTTGTAGTATGATTACATGCCTATATTAGATGATAGAAATCATTATTAGATTTACTATTAGTTAATTTTGTACAACAATTTATTAGGTTGACGGTTTGGAGCATGCGAAGCACACCGTCGAGAGTGCACCCACCATGGATGAGCGGAAGACATCTTTTTTGCGCAGGCTTTTCAACAACTTGCTCTGTTGTACCAGAGAGCAAAGGAGGGATGTCATATTATACCCTCCAGTGCCTGCTCCGGCCCGACCTTCATTCCGTGCTGATGAGAGGATTGTGCCCCCACAAGAGCCCCCACGGAGGAGCAGAAGAAGGGTGAGAGAACACATTGAAGAGCTTCGTCCGTCTCAGCAAACTCAACTTCCTCAACCATGGCCACATTGTGAGTGGGCTACTAGTACTGAGGGAACCGGAGGGTCGTCAAGCTATGCCCCGACTCAGGAGCATGACATGTTCACCCAAGCCACCCCTCAGTTTCACCATCAGCAACAAACTACTCAGTATCAGACCCCGCAACAACAACATACATCATCGACTTTCTACCACGCTTCTGGTCCATCTCAGCAACCTCCCCCCCCACCACCTGTCTACACTCCGGTGGGTGGTCGGGTTAAGAGGAATCCGCGCGCAGTTGTCCAGCGGGCTCGTGAAGAAGGAGGAGGAGGTAGAGAGGGAGGAAGAAGGGGCCGAGGAGGTCGTGGAGGAAGAGGAAGAGGAAGAGAAGGGGAAGTGGAGGGAAATGAAGACAACCAGTGAACTATCTATGTCGTTCTAATTTAGTTTCATCTTTTTTTGTTTTCCATGAACTATCCATGTCGTCTAAATTTGGTTTGGGTCTTGTGTTGTTTTCCATGAACTATCTATGTTTCTAAATTTGGCAATCGGATTGTGTTGTTTTCCATTAACTATCTATGTCGGCTAAATTTGGTTGGTTTTTACCCCCATGTTGAAACAAAATGAACAACAAACGCCCTTTATTACAATCACTCAACAAGATTAAAACAAGAAGTCCAACTTCCCATTGTCTACAGGCCAATAAGCTTCATCCGGCAGGGGGCTAAAACTTGACGAGTAGGAGTTCCTGATCGCCTGTTCCGTGTAGTAAGGACTAACCAAACTGTAAGCGCTGAGGGTTATCGACTTAGCTACTGCCATTGCATGTGAACAAGGTACTCTTCTGTTTTGATACTTTTGGCATGTACACTCTCCGGTGCGAGTTTCTACGTGTAGAGTAACGGATTGACGATTATGCCCACGTCTTCCTCCACCCCAGATACCTGTTTGCACAGCAAAAATACCTTCATTGCGGTTGAACAGGACAACTCTGTGCTTACTTGATTTCTCTTCGATCTTCTGCATGCCATCAAATATATGCTTAGCTATTGAATGACCAGCACGCTCCCTCCCTATAGCAGCATCCCGTCTCTTCACAAACCACTCGTTTACCTTCCAATATGTCATCTCCACTAGGACAGATACAGGCATTGCCCTAATGCCCTTGTAGACTCCATTTATGCTCTCCCCATGGTTGGTAGTTGCAATTCCGAATCTAGCCCCGTTGTCCATGTGAAATGTCCACATGTGCAGATCTTGACCTTCTGCCCATACTGCTCCCGCCCGGTGTATTTGACGGATCGTCTTCATCTTCTGCTCGTACTTTTTTGGTTGATGTGCAACGGCTACAAGACCGGATAATTAATAATTAATCCATAAGAAATTTCATTTGAACAATAAACCATGAACAATCACTGAATTACATTATTACCTGCACTCCACAATTGATCTCTTATGTCTTTCTTCTTGCCAAATTTGTGTTGGAAATTGGCTAGGAAGTGACGAATACACCAACGCCATGTCCATCCCCATTCGTCCGGGAAACCACGGACGGCGTGTTTAATCCCGGCATGTCGATCCGATATAATTGTAATACCCATTCTTTGTGTGACGTGGGCGTGTAGCTGGTCAAAGAACCATGCCCAACTTAGGTTGTTCTCCCCTTCAACTAATGCAAATGCTAAGGGAAAAATACTTAAATTTCCATCAACCCCAGTGGCAATAAGAAGAGTTCCTTTATACTTCCCAGTAAGGAAAGTTCCATCAACCTGTTAAAATGAATAATGAGTTAATAAAAATTGAAATTAGTAAAGTAATGAAATAGTACAATATTTTGAGTCCGTAATATACCTGAATCACTGGCATGCAGAAGGGAAACCCGTCAATGCATGGCTTGAATGTCCAGAACAGACGATGAAACATCAACTCGTTCTGTACTCGAACTTGATCTTCAGTTTCTACGTTGTTGTACCAAGGCACGAAAACCGTCCCAGGGTTGGACTCCTCCATTGCGGACATTAGTCTGGGGAGTAAAGCATACGAGTCATCCCAATCACCGTAGACATCAGCCATGGCCTTCTGCTTCCCATGCCACGCCTTCTTATACCTTATGGTGTAGGAGTGTCGATCCTTCACCTCCGCCATGATAGCTTTTATCTTGATATCTGGTTGTGCCTCGATAAGGTGCTTAATGGTTCTTGCCACTTTTTTTGCTTTCAGTTGCCGGTGATCCTGTGAAAGTATGGTTGAGGAGCAACTGTGGTTGTTCTCTACTGTCCGCATGACCCAGACCCCCTTTCTCTTCATATATGCAGCACGAAGTTGCCACATACAACCCTCTCCAGCATTCTTACAAATGACATGCAGTTGTCCCTTGTCAGAATATTTTACCTTCCATTCAAAATTACGCCGCATGGCTTCTTCGCTAAAAGCGTCTTGCACATCGGCTTTCGAAGTGAACGCCATACCCACTTCCAAATTAGCAGTCGGATTATACACAGGCATGGGCCGAAAGTCAGGGGCATCGTTCTGACCATATAAAAATTGATCAGGAACCTCTGTGTAGTAAGGCGTTGGTGCCTGTCGGAACGCCACCTCACTGTCATCGATATCGTCGTTATCGTCCGTATCTTCCTCCTCACTGACTGATCTCAAATCTTCCTCACTTTCATCGTCACTGGAGGCGAATGGATAGGTCGGCGAAGGATGGTCATCGTTAGCAGCATAACCAGCATCGCCTTCTTGGTCATGCGAAGGACGCCCAGTTCGAAGGGTGTTTTCAATGTCACCCCACTCTGGACCCCAAGCAGGCCATTGATCACCGTCGGGCTGAACGATATCGACGGCAGTCTCACCACCATGTGGCAGGTATTCTTCCCACCCAACACCTCCTTCAGAACTACCTCCTCCGTAGTTGCTTGAAGTACCTCCCCAACCATACCCTCCGGCAGAAGAACCTGCTCCGTAGTTACTTGAACTACCACCCCAGCCATACCCTCCTGCAAAACCATCATCATAAGAATACTGGTGAGAATGAGTTTCACCGACCGGCTCGGTCTCGACATACACCTCTGCAAGCCGCACGCCGTTCTCAGATATGAAATGTGTCATCATGTTCGCGTCGTCATCATCATTTATGTCAACTTTTTCGTACATGACTCCGTCAGCACTCATGTTGGGATACCGGTAAGTAATTTGACGAACTCTCATTTGCCCGCCCGTACAAGTCCTTTCTGCACACCTGTCATGGAGTTCTTGCCACGAGGGCCTCGACTCAATTGTAAGCGTACTGGATTCGCCATCTTCATAGTCGATCCCCATGTTCGAGTTTGTCACCCGACCATTCCACCGAATAATAAGCCGAAACTTCTTAAATTTACCCATGTCTGCAATTTATAATAATTAAGTATTAGTATACAATTAGTACATTATGGATACAAAAACAAAACAAACCCATAATAAAATGCAACTAATTGATCTATTATGAGAAAACTAAACAAATTAATCTAATTCAGTACTAACTAACTAACATCTATCATATCATAATTAATCTAAATATATCATAACATCTTTTCCAATAACTGCGATTCACTAAATACAGACATATTCATACTAACAGCTCAACATGTAAAAAATACATACTTATAACATACTCAATCCCGATCTATCATGAGAAAACTAAACAAATTAATCTAAATTCAGTACTAACTAACTAACATCTATCATATCATAATTAATCTATATATATAAACAAATTAATGTAAACAATACGTAATTCTAACATACCGAATCCCGACGAGTTTCTTGAGCAGTAAACCAACTCCAAACCAGCTAAGAAACCGACTAAAAAAAAAGGTTTGTTGTATTTGGTTGCTGTAAGGCAGCAGCAGGAAGGGAGTGGGCTTCGGTATATATAGGAAAAAATGGCTGCTAATCACCGCTTTGGACTTCGGCGGTGAACACATCATTGCTGTTGTCCAAAGCGGTGATAGCTAGGTCGCTGTGACCTAATTTTCCACCTACCAGGGTAGAAAAACGTGGTCAATTATCCCCGCTTTTCTCCACCGCGATGCTATCACCGTTTCACATAAACGCGGTGAAGAGATAAATTATCACCGTCGTTCTGAAAGGCGGGGATGCGATCACTGTTGTGGTCCAAAGCGGTGAAGCATTCACTGTCGTGGTCCGAGGCGGTGAAGCAATCACTGTCGTGGTTTGAGGCGGTGATGTTATCCCCGCTGTCCTCAAAAGCGGTGATACCTTCCCCGTTTTTAATCAAAGCGATGATTACTATCACTGTCTTGGACAAAGACAGTGATGGTGAAACTGCTGTATTTTGGGAAAAAAGTTTATAAGTATTGTATTTGAGGAATTTTTTTTAATAGGTAGAGTATTTTGGGATTTTTTCCTTCAAATGGTTACCATGGTAATTATCAAACTAAATAAGCCAAAATTCTATTAATCATGGAATACAATATCATAACCAAACCGTTCAAACTAATACAGCAATCAAATTAACGAAACTAAAGTTTAATCGGTTTGGTTAATTGGTTAACCAGATTAACCATTATAACATCACATTATCATTAAGTGAGAAAATTTTCAGTTAATGCAGCAATTCATAATTTTTATGATTAATAAAACATTATAATGAATAAATAGTTATAGTTAACCCTTATAGAAATACATACAACTAATACAATTATCTTACTATCAATAGAAGTATTCACCTAACAAATATATATGTCAATAGTATGGAGTTAATTAACTGTTGTGATTGTATGAATTGAATTAGTCTCTTAGCAATTATCATAGGTTGAAAAAGACATTCCTTTCAATTTTTCATCTAATATATTGTATGAGTTCGATCTAAATTTGGCGTTTATATATCATGGTCTACACTATACAAATACAAATATACAGTATATGAACAATATTGAGCTATATTGTTGACGAGCCAACAAGGAAGGAATGTTTGGCTCTTGATTAGTTATGTCAAGTATAAAGTATGTGTATATAATATTTATTATATATATGGATAATTACTTAACTGGTTAGTTTGGTTTGATTAGTTAGGAGTGTCTGAAAACAAACCAAACAAGCTAAATTTTATAACCAAACCAAACCGATTATCCAAATTAACAAAACTAAATTAGCCAAATACTACCGGTTAAAACGGTTACCACGGTAACCACACCATTTGAACACCCATAATCAATCTTGATGATTCGAACACCATCATCACTCTTAATCGTGCCTCCCAAATTCCACAAAAACTGACCAGCAAGAATTTTCCAACCTGGTGTGCCCAACTGTTCACTCTTCTTCGCAATCTCGAACTCATAGGTTTTCACGAGGGGACTCATCCTTAACCGGCCTCGACTGCCACTCCCGCTGTTTGCATCCGCTGGTTCAGGCAAGACCAACTACTTCTACATTCAATTCTGACTTTTGTCTCACCCTCTGTTGCTCCTTATGTCACCGCTGTAACCTCCTCTCGCGAAGCCTGGAGCATTCTTGAGCGCATATGTTGCTCCTTTGAGATAATGGGTTGATAGCGATGACAATTTGAACTCGCCCTGCGTGTATTACCCAACCAGACCCACGATGGGGTGAGTATTACCCAACTCGCAGTAGCATGGGCGATGCATGCGTATCTACTTCCGACCCGCCCTGCCCCATTTTAACTCAATTTCTTACAATATTTATACATATTTCTCCTATTTTGACTTTTGTTCAACTAGTTAGAGTCCATCTTTCAACTGCTCGGTGCGGATAGTGCATATCCATTATCATATCCAAAAATAGTTTGGGTTTTACTCATACTCATACTCACATGAGAAATGGGTAGAGAATCAAAACCACGCCCTTACTTGCTCGAGTTTCGGATATCCACGGTTATCTATAGGTAATAGTTTCTATTTATAACTCCAATCAATATGCTAATATTCACACGTATTCTCACATTACATAAGACAAAAATGTACGAAAATAATTCACTAGAATCAAGAAAATTAAATAAATTAACACAATTTCATGAAAATATTATATTTATATGCTAAATATAAAATATGTTAGAGAAAAATAATGATTATTTTTAGAAAAAATACATGCGCACGTGTATAATCGGGCAAGTTCGGGCTGGATAGTGAGAAATTCATGCCCACTCATTACCCCCCAATATTTGGGTTTGGGTTTTACCCATACCCACTAAAAATCATTTCGGTTCGGGTTTTACCCTTCCCAATTAGATATGATTTGGGCAGATATTCACGATTATCGATATTTTTGCCATCCCTAAAAAATACAAAAAAAGAAAAAATTAATTTTAATAATTAATGATATTGTCATTATTTTCCAGGGTAAGTATCTTCTCACATTTTTCGCCATTGAACAATAATGGGCCATCCTCCCAAAATAACAATAATGGGACATCCCGTTTTTTTCTAATTACTTGAGCCCGCAGCAAAGCGCGACTATTTTCTAGTTCAATTAACATTACGTCACTCGACATTCACCCAACTAACACCAACTTAATCTGAAACCCCATGAACGTAATATGTGTATTCACATCTTAATACATATTAAACATATAAGATGGTTACTGTTGCATAAGAGAAAGATTAAAACAACAATGGGGTTCTAATTTAGAAAAGACAACCCACTTATTCTTGAACACGTGGCAACTCTATGGCTTTTTTTAGATGCGTTGCGTGTCTTAGTTGATGTTCTATTATTGCTCTATACCCAATTCATTTCCTCACTTACACGGGTCCACCATAGAGAAGAAAGTTATAAACTGCATGAAACCATTCCAAATGAACTATT